ACAAAATAAGAATTTTGGAAATCGGTTCACAAATGGCGGAGTACTGCGCGAACGAACAAAAAAAATACAATCAGCCGAACATAGTACCTCATCCTTTTTTTGAAGTCGGTAAAAAGGAAAATTCGACATATTCCCGGGAACATCGGGAAATAGCACCCGCCGAAGTTCCGGGAAATGGCATCCATTGAATGTATATCGATATCTCCCGAACTACCTTTTTTATGGCATAATCCGGTAAACGAGCAGACGGATCACCTGATGGTAAGCAATCGGCGTCGCCCATGGACACCTGGAACACCAGAGGCGTTACAAGTGCGTTACCGGCGTTTTGGGGATTAGGAGTTTGAGGATCGTTGGGGACCCCTGAGGATTGGGGAGGTTGGGGGGGGGGGGGAATTGGGCGTCCGGTAACATCACTTACACGACGAAACACGTTGTTTGACGTGGTTTTTCTGCTCGGCCGTAGTATCACTCCGGTCGAGCTGACCCATTCGTGCCGAAGCATGGCTCTCCCACACTTACCTCCTATCTGATCAAAATTGATCATTCTTCATTGCTGTTAAGCCAAGAGCGAAAAATTTGATATATTCACATAGTACTCAGTTGAAGCTGCGGTGACTTTGTTTATTATATCAGCATAATAAACAAAATAATACAATACAAAGGACAGGCCTTTTGTCAACTAACCTAGAGCATCTAGCAACCAATAGTTTTTTTTTTTATTTTTTATTTCTTTTCTTTTATTTCTTTTTCAAAAACGTTGCCCCACACTAGGATTTTCTCCTGTGTCGTGGGTGCGTTTACAAACATACAAGTTCACATACACATGACACCCAGACCCGGAACAACAATTTGTGGATCACACAAAGTGTTGTTCCGTGCGGGAATCGAACCCGCGACACGTTGAGAACTAGAGAATTGTATTGTGAACCTGATTGAAAAAGAGTAGGTAACCTATGGAGTTTCTTGCTCGTTCTTCTCCATAGGAATCTACACCTTGGAATGAACAAATAGCTTCACTTTTAATTTTATTATTGACGTTCAAAAGTGCCTTTCTGGTCTAATTGAAATAAATGATTTTGACTTTGACTTTGACTTTGTTGCACGGCAGCCGGTTGCCCAGCCACCGTACCAACCGTGCAGTCGTATAAGTATAAGAGACTATAGATGGAATCTCCTACCGCCTGACGCAGGTCCTCACCGGACATGGGAGTTTCGGGAGGTACCTGTGTCTGATGGGGCGGGAGGAAACGCCCGGGTGTCATCACTGCGAGGACCGCCCTCAGGACACGGTGGAACACACAGTGGGAGAATGCCCTGCGTGGGCTGAGCACCGCCGTGCCCTCAGGGAAGTGATCGGCGATGGCGACCTCTCGCGTCCGGGCCTAGTGCAGGCCATGATGCGGAGCGAGGGGGACTGGGATGCCGTCTCCTCCTTTTGCGAAGCAGTCATGCTAGCTAAGGAGGAGGCGGGACGCGTGAGGCAGCGAAGCGCTGCCTCCTCGCAACCCAGCCATCGCGAAGGACACACCGGGCGTCGGGGATCGCGGGACGATCTCCGGCCACCGTAAGCGCGGGCCTGCGGACGGCGAGCATGGGTGGCTCCCCGTCCGACCAGAAACAGACCCGAGCGTACGGCGCGTCGCGTTCCGCGCGCGCCTCAAAGAGCCATCAGACCACCACAGATGGGGCCCAATAGGGCCGATGCCGATTCGGAGTCGCGGAGAACCTAGCGGGTAACCGGGGCTCCGGCTCGACGTGCAGGAGAAGGAACGGGGTGGTTTTTAGTCAGTAAGAGTCTGACACTCCCTTCCGCCTCACCCAGGCGGGAGCAGTCATTCGATGATTTTCCCCCCTTAAAAAAAAAAAAAAATAGATGGAATCTAACTACTATTATATAGTTACTACAGTTGCCGGGCTATTGGTCTCCATTGTGGAAAACACATTTTTTTTTTTGAGGTGATACCATTACCTCAATACCTTCACCATCGACTGGATGAGATGCGGGTTCGATTTCCGCTAAGAATAAAATATTTGTGACCCAAAAATTCTGGAAACTGTACGTGCCAACGTTTTTAAACACACGAAGGAAAATCGTAGTTAATTAAACCTTTACTTATAGATTTTATTTATCGCAATCGTTAGATCCGTTTTCGAGAAAGTGACGGACGACTGAGCAAAAGGTGTTGGGTTCGATTACCGATTTCCAAGTCGGTTTTAAAAATATGTTTGTGTTCATCATCACGCATACACGCTAGGACGGAACTAGTTGTTTTTTTTATGGCATAAGCCGGTAAACGAGCAGACGGATCACCTGATGGTAAGCAATCGGCGTCGCCCATGGACACCTTAAACACCAGAGGCGTGACAAGTGCGTTAACGGCTTTTTGGGGATTAGGAGTTTGAGGATCGTTGGGGATTTAGGGATTGGGGAGATTGGGGAAGGGGAGGGCTCACTCATACGACGAAACACAACGCAAGCGTTGCTTCACGTTGGTTTTCTGTGAGTTGTGGTATAAAATAAAAAAACCGGTTTAGGTGACATCACACTTCATATATTTATTGTATATTTACAATATTTGACTTAACAATAACCTATCAATACTTAATTAACTCAAGGTTAAACCTTTTAACCGCCACACTCACATCTATATCTATATGTTAAAAAAAGTTAATAAGGTAGATGCCTAATGTCCGTCTGGTAAATTATTTAAAAACATTAGACACGTATTTTTTATTTTCTTACAAAAACGAATACTTTCGACGATATATTGATTTGAAAAGTGGCGTGACGTCACTTCTATGTACATTCTAAGAAATGACGTTTTAGCCTCCACTCCTAAACTTTGATTCGTTTTATCTAAGTATTGTTTTATTGTACGACAAAATAAAAAATACGTGTCTAATATTTTTTCATTACCTAACTTACGGACTAATTACATTTTTAATTTTCATACCCTGTCATCATCCCAATTATAAAGAGGAATTTATTATTTGTTTGCATTGAATAGTCTCCGAAATTACTAGACTATTTTATATATCGGATACATTTCGGTGAGTGCGCAAGGGTATAGTACAATTTAATTCATTTTCTATTTCACCATCAGACCAGTAAATAAACGGCAAGGCGCCGTAAGAGCAATTATTAGTCGGGGACAGTACAAATCCACGAATGTAAAGGCCGCGTATCTGCAATAGATTCAGTATTACAGGTGAAGGTTTAAACTTACATAACATAACGCCTTTTATCCCCGAAGGGGTAGGCAGAGGTGCACATTATGCCACTGTACAATGTAACACCCACTTTTCACTATTTATGTTATGGGTCCCATGTAATAGGGGGTGAGCCTATTGCCATATACCGGGCACAATTCCAAACTCCGTGCTACTACTGAGATTTTTTTTAAACCTAGTAATACTTTGCCCGACCCGGGAATCGAACCCGAGACCCCTTGCCCGGCAGTTGCACTTGCGACCACTCGGCCAACGAGGCAGTCTCAGGCAGGCAGGTTTAAACTTAATAACTTTATTAATTAAATGAATTTTAGGCTCATATTTAAAAAATTAAAATGAGTCGTAACGAACATATGTCAATGCGGTGGTAACCAAATAAAATTTTGCGAGATTTTTTCGCGAAACTTGAATTAACTACATTTATCATCTGATAAATGTAACCTCCGTATCTACGGGGAATTATGCAATGCTTAAAAGAGACAGACCTCTGAGTCTGTTTCGGCATTTCTTCTCAGAGTAGTCAGTTAGGAAATGTCGGCCTCATCGTTCGCTTGATAAAATTGACGTGTCAAAGTGCTGCCTTGTAGCCTATTTGCAAAAACAAATTCACTTGTTTCACTTGCTAGTTCCGCGGATTTGCTCTATCCCCGAGTCGGGGACGCCGACGTATTCTACTTATTTAAGCTTGGTGATGTGGCGATCAAAAAGTTTAAAATATTGACATCCTCATTGGTCGGTTGGTTACAAGCTGAACTGCTAAACATAATGTACTAGCTTCACCACTCCTGGACAAAACATCACTTAACTGACTTTATTCCTCAATGAGGTAGGCAGGGGTGTACGTAAACACATGTTTAGCTGACTATAATCATCTTTATCATTACCAACCCTGCAGCTGTAGCCAAATACTATTTAATCATCATCATCATCAACAACAGCCTATAAATGTCCACTGCTGAGCAAATCCTCTTCTAACACGAAGAAGGTTTGAGCATTAATCACCACGCTTGCTCAATGCGGGTTGGCGATTTCAAACTCATAATTAGAAATTATAAGCCTAGGTTTCCTCACGATGTTTTCCTTCACCGTTTGTCAGTGGTATCTGAATAATCTTAGAAAGTACATATAACTCGGAAAAAGTCACATTGGTACTTGCCGTTGGTAGGTTTCGAACCCGCACCCTCATGCATGAGAAGCGGGCGTCTTAAACCTCCGTGCCACCATGCCATTTAATGCCATCCCCATACATTTAGTTTTCTACTCTCTCTGTAGACAAGCGCTAAAGTGGCGTTTGGCTAAAGGCACTGGGCCTTGGGGATAACATTGACAAGTGTCAAAATTCACGTCAATCCTTCCTACTAATATTATAAATCGGAAAGTGAGTTTGTTTGTTTGTTCCGCTTTCACGCCGTAACTACTAAACCGATTGCTTTGAATTTTTGCAGACGTAAAGTTAGAAGTCCGGATTAAATAATAGGGTACTTTTTATCCCGGAAAATTTTGTATTCCCGAGGGAAAACAAAAGTATTGGTATAGATGGCGCTGTACGTATTGGTATATGTCACATAGGCTACTTTTTATCCTTTTGTGAGGCGAGCGAAGCCGCGGGTGAAAGCTAGTTCCATATGGTTTTCTATTCTACATGTAGACAAGCGGTAAATGGCATTTGGCTACAGGCGCACGTTTGCCCATAATAGGGTATTATCCAGCCATACTTTTCAGTTGGTTTTTTATTTCTAGTTAATTTACATGTGGTTTCAGGAAGGTTAGTATTTAGCTGACTTGTATGAGGGTTCTTCTGAAGCTTGCGGCGCTTTACGTTTCTGAATTATATTCTGAATCTGTAACAATCATTTGATATTTGTAACACATAACATAACATAACATCACGCCTTTCATCGCCGAAAGGGTAGACAGAGGTGCACATTATACCACTGTGCAATGTAACGCCCACTTTTTACTATTTATGTTATGAGTCCCATGTAATAGGGGGTGAGCCTATCGCCATATACCGGGCACAATTCCAGACTCCGTGTTACTACTGAGAATATTTAAAAATCCAGTAATACTTGGCCCGACCCGGGAATCGAACCCGAGACCCCATGCCCGGCAGTCGCACTTACGACCACTCGGCCAAAGAGGCAGTCTCTTGATTTCAGTTTTCTTTTAATGTTATATAAAGTACTTAATTAGCTAGTAAGAATAAGAAATGAGCGCTTCTCGCCGTTAAACGATATGTTTGGCGAGGATCTTTAATTATAAGAACAAAATGTTATTCCTAAAATTGTACTTTTGTTAAATAAATAAATAAATAGTCATATTTGTAACAATTGTCCATAATATTATTATTTTAGACATAACATCAGTTACTTGTATTTCACGCTTCTCCGAAACGAATGATCGATATAAGCTTACGGCGAAAATGAACTCATAGGCAATGCGTATGGAATTCATTACATAGAATTAAATTAAAATCAGACAGTTAAAATGAAAACCAATTAGGATGTTCCTGGATGGTTAAAATAAAAAGCCTAGCTTCACTGACGGACAGACTGACAGACTATTATTTATTTCATATTTGTTGACGTTTCAAAAGTACCAAATTAAGGTTTAATTGAAATAAATGATTTTAAGTTTGAGTTTGAAAAAAGGCTATTCTATACAGGTGAAGCCATGAACAGAAAGCTAATAAAATTAGTCGCGGAGAACCTAACGGGTAACCGGGGCTCCGGCTCGACGTGCAGGAGAAGGAACGGGGTGGTTTTTAGTCAGTAAGAGTCTGACACACCCTCCCGACTCACCCAGGCGGGAGCAGTCATTCGATGATTTCCCCCCTTAAAAAAAAGCTAATAAAATTATAATAAATGTTACCTGTTGCCACTCCCTATCAAGTTCAGCCTTCTCGCTCTTATCCTTGGTCTTCCTTGTCTTCCGTCCGTCCTGAGTCTTGACTCCATACTGGAAGGCAGCCTTCGGCAGCGCCTCCTTGCTACTCATGTACGCCGAGTACTCCTCCTGGGTGTCGAAGTCCCAACGACCTGGACATAACGATTGATTTTAACATACAACTTACTAATTAACAAAGAGAATCCTTTTCTGACCGACTGCCTCGTTGGCCGAGTGGTCGCAAGTGCAACTGCCAGGCAACGGGTCTCGGGTTCGATTACTGGGTTTTAAAAAAAGCTCAGGAATAGCGCGGAGTCTGGCGGTATATGGCAATAGGCTCACCCCCTATTACATGGGACTCATAACATAAATAGTGAAAAATGGGTTTTACATAGTTCAGAGACATTAAGTGATGCAAATGTGCACCTCTGCCTACCTCTTCGGGAATAAAAGGCGTGATTTTTTAGTTATGTAACCCTATTATGTCCGTCTGTCTAAATAACGTGATTCCCAAAGAAGGTTTATATGTGTAATAATGATTAGGTTATTATGGATTTAACCACACGAGGGAAAAGTTAACATGATAAGTAAAATTGAATCACCGGAGCGTTTGTACGCACATAACTCCCGAACTACTTGACCAAAATGGATTATTCTCTTTTTGTCGCCTTTGTTATTAAGACAAGGTTTGTGTGAAACAAAAACGGACACATTCATCAGGAAATGTCACCGGGGCATAGTTGGGCCCGCTAATAGTGTTATAACATACCATCACGCCTTTTATCCTCGAAGGGGTAGGTAGAGGTGCACATTATACCACTGTACAATGTAACACCCACTTTTCACTATTTATGTTGTGAGTCCCATGTAATAGGGGAGGAGCCTATTGCCATATACCGGGCACAGTTCCAGACTTCGTGCTACTACTGAGAATTTTTTAAAAACCCAGTAATACTTTGCCCGACCCGGGAATCGAACCCGAGACCCCTTGCCCGGCAGTCGCAATTGCGACCACTCGGCCAACGAGGCAAGAGAGCAGCATAGTGTTATAATTATGGAATACGATCATTCAACATTTTGAACTAAACCAAAACTGCCTAAAAATATAATTATACATACCAATAGGTCCCTTCTTATTGCCGGCATCCATCTTAGTGTAATCCACTTCATCATCAGAGTCATCGATGGCGTCGTCCATCTCTCTAAGTCCAGGGTAGCACTCCGCGTAGCCCTGGGGCTCCGCCGCCAGCCGGGACAGGAGCGCCGCCGACCGACGGGATACTTCGGGGACACGGCCGCGGACTGGGTCCGATACTAGGAAATAAAAAAATCAAATTAATACACGGGTAGGAAATTAATAAATAATAGGGTAGGTGACTAATTTTTATTTTAATGTCCGTCTGGTAGATTATTTAAAAACATTACACATGTATTTTTAATTTTTTTACTGAAACGAATAGTTTCGAAGATATATTGATTTGAAATGTCGCGTGACGTCAGTTGTATGTACGTTTTATACGTAGAAATGACGTTTTAGCCCCCACTCCTAAACTTTGATTCGTTATATCTAAGTATCATTTTATTATACAACAAACTAAAAAAATACGTGTCTAATATATTTTCATTATCTAACTGACAGACTAATAACATTTTTAATTTTCATACCCTGTCATCGTCCCGATTGCAGTTATTACAGTTATAACAGACAATGATTAAATTGATTGGTCGTTCCAGTGAACTAATCAATCAGAATACGAAATACCGAACGCACTCGGTACTAATACGTTACGAATGCGATAGTTATTCGTGCTTGGCATTCTAATATTTTTTGACGTGACGTCTTATAAATTGGTTTGCCGGGTGACACTTCAAGAAACTGCGTTACGCTCCGCTCACGTTATGCGCTCACAATGAGAGCGAGTGAGAGGCACGCGTCCATTCCACTCGGGCATGGTTAGCCCGCTTAAGAGCGAGAGAGACAGACATCGTTGTCACGTAAAACTTTCGCCCGTATACCGACTTTACAGGCAACCAATTTTTTATGGCATAAACCGGTAAACGAGCAGACGGATCACCTGATAAGTAATCGGTGTCGCTCATGGACACACGGAACAACAATGCGTTACAAGTTACCGGCCTTTTGGGAATTGGGAATTTGAGGGTTGTGGAGGATTCGGGGATTAGGGAGACTGGGGGAGGGGGGGTAGTTGGGCCTCCGGTAACCTCACTCAGACGTCGAAACACAAGGCATGCGTTGTTTCACGTCGGTTTCCTGCTCGGCCGTGGTATCACTCCGGTCGAGCCGGCCCATTCGTGCCGAAGCATGGCTCTCGGTCTTACACTTAAGTCTGATAAAAGGGTATTAAATATTCTCACCGTCCATCATCTTGTCGTCAGCGTCAGCGGGTTTGTCGAAGTACCCGCCGGCGGCGCGCGCCCTGTCGTCGCGGCGCTCCTGTCGCTCGCCGGGGTTGTAGTCTCCGATCTCTCCGTATATTGAGTCGTCTGCACGACCCTTCTCTGATGGTTTGTCCTGTAATTAACGGTGAATTAATTGTGTGATGACCCTCGACTAATTTCAAGTCATTTTTGGAGTCTATAATCATTTTCAATAAACTAAGTTTTAAAAAATCGATTTCAAACTCCATTTTTAGTATTTTTTCTAAAGTCATTGAATATAGATACTAAATGTGACCTGCTTCTAAATGTAACAAATACTTTTCTAAAGAACACATCAAGATCAGTTCAGCCAATCGACTGATAATCGCGAACAAATATACATACAGAGAACCTCATTACCAGAGAACCTCATTACCTCGTTTTTTTGAAGTCGGTTTAAAAATACTGTTATACTTTGACTAACTTAATGTAATTAAGCAATTAATTTTTAGTTTTACAAGCAATGTTACTGTACTTTATACATGTCAGCTCATTTTTAACTTGAAACACAGGCTTGTACCTAGTTCAGGTTTTATTATAAACTTATGCCGGAATACTAAAACGTTACTCAATTTAAAGTCGTGCTTAAACATCGTGCCATCTCTGTCATTTTACAAAGGATTTGTGGAGACAGAAATTATACTTAAGCGCGACTTAAAATTGAGTAGCGTTTGAGTATTCCGACATTAGACTTTCTTTAGGTAACAAGATTTATTTTGTAATCTGTCTTATTACACCAAATAAACATTATTTGTTTATTATTGTTTACTTACCCCTTTAGTCTTCTTTAGTTTCCTATGCCTTCCATGCCTTAGGTAGGAGAAGATCTGCGCCAGTTTGTCGAGCACGACGTCGTTGGCGGCGGCGGCGGAGCTGCGCGTGTCTGGCGCGGGCACGTCGGCCTTACTGCGCGTCAGCGTCGTCGGGATGTCGCTGTCCGCGCCGCCCTCCTCCTCCAGCTCCACCACGTACGCCATGCGCCCCGCCGCGAACATCTCGTTGCGGGTCACCTTCTTGTTCCTGCCAACATTTTTTTTATATAACACTTTAATGCACCCAAAATAAGGTACATAAGGCGGACTTAATGCCATATGGCATTTTCTCCCAGTCAACCTTTGGGTTAAAAGTAAGCTCAGCGAACATGGGCTTGTGTAATATGCAAAAAAAAACAAAATAAATAACTAATAGTAATAATAAATACTGTTTAACATACTATTATACAGTATACAAGTACAGTACAACATTCGTGATATTAGGTCAGTCTGCGAACTGTGGTGATTATTCTTTGGTAGTTAACCCCTCGAGCGTCCTTATGAGCACCCGGTGGATCATAATAAAAAATGCTCCATGCTGCTTTCTCTTTTATAAAATCCATTATTAATGTTTTGTTTTTATTTTGAATGCATTTTTTATTTCTATTGTAATGATCCTTGCTTTCGTGTGTCAATGGCCAAATAAATGCATTTTTTTCTTTATTTCTTTCTTTTTACAAATGTCACGTGTGCATCCGTTGGATCATAAGGATCGCGGACGCTCGACGGGTTAAAGTCCGATGACTGTTGATGAAATGAAAGAGGTATGTAGGAATAGTAGCAATTGGTGTTCCATAGTCTCTACCTACCTCAATAGGAGACAGGCGTGAGATTAAGGATGTATGTATATTATGAGGGGTGAAGTTGTGTTATAACAATGTTGAAAGAAGGTGTGGTTATGGATTTTTATGTCTGCCAAGAGTGGGGATTATAGTAAGAAATTTTGTATAAGGCTTTTTGATTATTTGTTTTTAAAAAATGTTGCCCCACAATAGGATTTTCTCCTGTATCGTGGGTGCGTTTACAAACATACAATTTTACACATACATGACACCCAGACCCAAGGAATTGTTGCATACGGGAATCGAACCGGCGACACGTTGCACGGCAGCCAGTTGCCCAGCCACCGCACCAACCGTGCAGTCAAATAGTATTAATGTTAAACCTAGACTTACAGGACTTAACGGGTAACCGGGGCTCCGGCTCGACGTGCAGGAGAAGGAACGGGGTGGTTTTTAGTCAGTAGTCTGACACACCCTCCCGCCTCACCCAGGCGGGAGCAGTCATTGGACTCGAAAGAAAAAGACTTACTTTTGTTCCTGTATCATGTTGAAGATGTTCTTGCCCATCGCTGTCTCAAACTGCATCTCTTCTTCCTGCGAAATGTTACGGTATTACTGAATTTAACTAATTATTGACAACTAGCTTTTACCCGCGGCTTCGCTCGCGTCACAAAAGGATAAAAAGTAGCCTACGTGACATATACCAATACATACAGCGCCATCTATACCATTACTTTTGTTTTCCCTCGGGAATATGACATTTTTCCGGGATAAAAAGTACCCTATTATTTAATCCGGACTTCTAACTTTACGTCTGCAAAAATTCAAAGAAATCGGTTTAGTAGTTACGGCGTGAAGGCGGAACAAACAAACAAACAAACTCACTTTCCGATTTATAATATTATAATATAGTAAGGATAAGGATTAAGTTCAGTAATTTTATCGACATGTCCAAAACATTTATTTTTTATAGGAGTGTTGCGGCGTGCCTCACACCTATAAAAACTGGATACATCGGTCATCAGGCAACAATTTGCTAAGAACATTTTATTAGGCGCATTTAGTTAGCATACCGCGGTCACCCGCAACCATTGTTAATCTCACTCCACTACCGATCGCTTACTTGTACACACGAAAATTAAATATACGATTATTTTTGTAATTGGACTTTAATTAGCCCCAGTGTATACGCTAAATATACAAGGAGATCGCAACATAATTACGTCAGCAAATTTATGCGCCAAATAGCATACTTGTTTCATAAAAAATTAGAAATTTAAGTACATTTATATCGTCAAATCAATGAAATGAAAAAAGTAGGTATTAACACGTTAAACGCCATGGGGGTCACCGGTGACCGGCGTTAGCGGAGGATTTACCTTCAACAGTTTTTTATTGGCAGTCAAAAATTAATTGTAAGTACTGAAAAGTGGAAATAATTTAATTTTGAGTGAAGAAACAACCACACAATTCAATAGTTATGTTTTGGAATGAAAATTCACCAATGAGTTAACCCGTCGTGCGTCCGCGTTCCTTTTGATCCAACGGGTGCACACGTGACATTTGGAGTAAGAAAGAAAGAAAATGCATGTATTTGGCCATTGGCACACGAAAACAAGGATCATTACAATAGAAATAAAAATACAGTCAAAATAAAAACAAAACATTAATAATAGATTTTATAAAAGAGAAAGCACCATGAGCATTTTTTCTTATGATCCACCGGGTGCTCATAAGGACGCTCGAGGGGTTAATATTACAAGATTATACAGCGGCCAGCAGATCAACAAACTATTTTAAACCAGCTAGTTTAAATAATGACCGTTAAAATACCAAAATACTCACAACAGGAACCTCTTTCTTCTCCTTGACTGGTTCTACAGGTGTGGTCACCAGTCTTTCCATCTCAGCTTCCTGCTCCTGCTCCCGGGTCTGAATCTCGGACCTCACCTGTGGGCATACAAACATGTTACATTACCTATACTTAAAGTACTGGTTTCGTCCGTTAATTAACTAAAGATATACGATTTTTATTTCAATTCTATGTACATACATCAATGCTTTTAAATTAATAAGTATGATTCTGTATCACTCACTCACTCACACACTCACACACTCACATACATACTCTTCACACATTAATTGTCCTTTTGTTATATTTTACTTAATTTTTTTTTTGTATTAGTATCTTGATCGCATTAGTCCTAAGGAAATCGTATTGTTGATAGCCGCGATACAGGCTTTGCCTAGTGCGGCTGTCATTGTAAATTTTTACTGTAAACATTGGAATGCCTAATAAAGATTTATTATTTATTATAGTATACATACCTTTTGTAAAAGGGCGTAGTCGAGACCTTTCACCAAATGCGTGTGTTCCATGTCACCACCGAGATATTTGGATTCCTGAAACATATATTTCACTCTATGAGTAATCATGAATTGTCCTAGAACCTCCCACAGAATCCTTGTTATCAGATAAGTGAGGCGAAGTAGACTGCCTTGTCGTAAATGTGAATGAAGTGAAGTGATTACAAGTTGTCTATCGAGCAAGAAGTGTCGGGTTCGATTCTCTAATCAGGTAAAGTATTATTAATCTATTAATACTTATATACTTAGTTATCCTTGGCTCTGTCTGATATCCAGTGTATGGCAATAAATTCACCCTTTATCACAAGGGACTCAAAACAAAAATAGTAAATAATTATTTTATAAACTATGTTTAAAAGAAACCCCTCTTTTTTAATTCGTTTAATTAATATACTAAACCATTCTTCTAAGTGTAACAAACATTTTTCCGAAATCAAACTGATATCATCATCCTTGTTTTTGAAGTCGGTTGAAAATCAATTGCTACATTGTATTTTGCACTACAGCCTCATATAAGGATAAGGAGGAATGTTGACATATGAATATACAATAGAAAACAGTGTCTCGCGTATATCTATGTTCCGACAGAAAAGAGGTTAATAGGCCGTCACCACTCGACACTGGCAATATAGTCGAAAAAATTGAACTGGAGAAGTGGATGCCATTTAAAAAAAGAAAAAGAACTACAAACCTGGATTAGCTGTCTCCTTCTCTCTTTGGCATCCATTCCTGATTTCAAATCTGGGGCCACCGCTCTGTAACATAATTAAAAATCTAATCTTATTCCAATCTAAGAGAGATAATAATGATGACTGACTCGTTGGCCAAGTGGTCGCAAATGCGGCTGCCGGGAAGTTCGATGGGAGTTCGATTCCCGGGTCAGGCAAAGTACTACTTGGTATTTAAGAAAAGAAATCTCAGTAGCAGAGTCTGCTACGGAGCACAATATATGGCAATAGGCTTACCTACATGGGACTCATCGCAAAAATAGTGAAAAGTGGGTGTTACATAGTGCAGTGGCAATTAGTGCCCTAATGTGCACGTCTGCCTACCCCTACGGGGATAAAAGGCGTGATGTTATGTATGGGTACAAATAAAAATTATATTTGACTCAAATGATATTATGACATTTACAGAAAATTATAATTTGTTACTGTCGTTTATGGTCTTTAGTTCTTTAATTACTATTAGCCTAATCACCTCAAAGAAGGACACAATTACGAACAACTTATGGTTAATAGGAAGGTGGATGGATGGTAAAAAGATGACACTGTACTGATGGATGCATTCGACAAATAGAGAATTCACGGGACCCTCACTGATGCAAAATACAATGCGAGGAGCCATAACCTCATAAAATAGTTATGTGAGTATGACGTAAAACAGCATTGTTTCTGCAACACCTAAAACTTGACAAGAAAGAATGCTGTAACTTTATATGTGGTCATTTGTGGTTTAAACAAATAAATAGCTAAACAAATTCACCTGTATGCACTGCTAGTGTTACTAGTCGGATCCATAGGCCCCAACTCATTGACTCCATCTCTCCGCTCCCGAGCTCTGTCCCTATACTTCTCTGCTAACTCCGCTAACTTATTATCTTCTTGTTTCTTTAAAGCTGCATAATAAGACTTCTTTTTCCTACGTAACTCTCCTTTGTTTTCCATAGGTGGTGGCATTGAACTGAAATATTTGGAAATATTACATTAGAATACGTTCAAAATATTATCTTCATAAGACAATTCCTAGGATTTAATTGGATAAGATTGTAAAGAAAGTTACTCATAATGAATTAGATTTACATAACAATTAATTTATATGTAGATGAGCACAGAAAAGGTGAGTATGGTCCAGTTAATACTAGTATAGATTGTGTGAAGCAACAATATACAGTTTGCGAGAGTAATATACTGTTTTAGGGTAGAATTAAACGTTCATGGACATGATGTACCGAGCTTAAGTACCTTGGTAAAAAGAAGATCAATTACATAGCGAAAAAATCAAGGTTCTATAAACGTGTTTACATCTCCTATAGAGTTTATTAATTGATACAAGATTATCTTACCCAGAATTAGCCATGGCTTCGCGCACGGAGCCGGCAGGATGGGAGCTCCCAGAGCTTCCAGGTGTAGCCCTGGGAGTCATCAACAGCTTCCTAAAGTCTTCATTTGTAAGCCTTTGAGAGGCAGGCGTTTGTTCCACGTTATTGTCATCCATTTTTATGTCTTTTTGAAGACTATGTGTCTAAAAACGCACGCTACACCGTAGCTATGCCGTTTAATCAATTATGATGTAATAAAACCCACTCTTTTCGTTTATAATTACACACGATGCGAATATTATAACTCAAGAAACAACATTGCTTTGATTTTGTGATTATGTACTTTGACAGCTACCATTGACAAGTGTAGCTTTTTGAAGAAGTGTCAATTCGAGTATTAGTCTTTTAAGTATCTTTTTTTATTAATTTATTCTAGTTTCAAATATTTAGAAAGAAACAGTAGATATATATTACAATGGTAATGCCCTGAAGAGCACAGTACTCTGTCACTCAGTATATAACTAGATGATAATACATAGTATAGTTCGCACAGTCGATTTGTCACATTAGCCTGACCCAGGGCACTAGTCATAACTCATAACTCAAGTATATGTTTATCCTGATGGATGGAAATTGACGAGGGTTACTCCGGTCCCCAAAGGGGCTCCTAGTTCGGATGTGAATGGATACCGGCCTGTTGCAGTATTGTCTACGTTTGCAAAGGTTTTTGAGTCCGCGTTATCTCCATGTATAACTTCACAGGTGAGTGCACATTTCTATGATGAGTAGCATGGATTTCGTGCGGGGCGTGGTACTACCTCATGTGTTTTATGAATTATGCTACACAAGCCCTCTACTCGGAGGCTGGTGCCCAGCTGGATATTGCCTATTTTGACTTCAGAAAAGCATTTGACAGCGTTGATAATGACATACTGTTAACCAAATTTGCGATGGCAGGGTTCACGCCAGATTTACTCCAGTTTTTTGCGAATTATCTCGGGAACCGGACGCAATACGTCGACTACTGTGGACATGTATCAGACCAATATCGCACGCTATCTGGTGTAAGCCAGGGTAGCAACCTTGGACCATTAGAATTTACTCTAATGATTAATGATCTACCAGATGTGGTCCAAAATGCGTGTTGTTTGCGCTTGCACGCGTGCCATGTCTCCGGTGCATCATCGATACCACATGGAAGACAATGTCATGCCTCGTGCTGAATCGGTGCGAGATTTGGGTGTGCTTGTGACCAAGGATTTGTCATTCAGGGACATAGAGCAACACGGGCCACCGGCGGATGCTCTATGTTCAGGGAGCATATCGAGAAGGTTTGCTCTAAAGCCTACAGAGTTTAGGTTTCGTAATGAGAGAGACAAAGGATTTTAACAGTATAGCAACAATAAAAATACTATACAATGCTTTGGTTAGAAGTCAATTAGAGACGAGTGCTATAATATTTATGGAACCCTCATGAGGTGAAATACAGCCTCATGGTGGAGAAGATGCAAAACAAGTTTTTTCGGTATCTGTACCTAAGACAATATGGAGTGTACCCGTATTACCCACTCATGTATCCTTCTCTGTTTGTTATTGGCATGGTGGGATACTATAAGCTAGAGGTCAGGCGAGAATCACACTCGCAAAGTACGTGTTTGAGGTTTTCCGGGGTAAACAGAACAATCCATCCATACTGGCTTCGTTGAGGTTGCTCGTCCCAAATAGAAAGCTAAGGCTGAGTTCGAGGCAGAGACTATTTGAAGTCCCCACCAGTCGCAGTAACATAGGTCGATATACTCCTGTGGCTAGAGCTATTAAAATAATTAACAGCGTTGGACAAAAGGTTGATATTTTCTGTTGCTCATTGGCGGAGTTCATAAAGGTAACGACTGATGTTGTTAGTTGTATATATATATAGATGTATATGTACATTATGTAGTTGATGGATAAGTGCAAATAGTATGTATGGCTGTGTTTTTATATTAAGTGACACCATTATCGCATTGGGTGTAACCTGTTAGGATCAACCCAGCCATCGCGAAGGACACACCGGGCGTCGGGGATCGCGAGACGATCTCCGGCCACCGTAAGCGCGGGCCTGCGGACGGCGAGCATGGGTGGCTCCCCGTCCGACCAGAAACAGACCCGAGCGTACGGCGCGTCGCGTTCCGCGCGCGCCTCAAAGAGCCATCAGACCACCACAGATGGGGCCCAATAGGGCCGATGCCGATTCGGAGTCGCGGAGAACCTAACGGGTAACCGGGGCTCCGGCTCGACGTGCAGGAGAAGGAACGGGGTGATTTTTAGTCAGTAAGAGTCTGACACTCCCTCCCGCCTCACCCAGGCGGGAGCAGTCATTCGATGATTTTCCCCCCTTAAAAAAAAAACCTGTTAGGATGCGTTGAATTAAATAAATAAATACTGAACTCTAACTCTAGAACCGCTCAACGTTATCTTGATTGACCGCCATATACATTGCTGAATGATGAATCCTCTCGCGTGTTTCTCGTACGTACACGGGTGTCCGAGAGAGTTGAGTGCCCATCGGGCAATTGTACACACGGGTGTACGAGAGTGACCGCAGCGATGGACCGATTGGATATTTTTTCTGTGACGTATATTTTCAAGTTGCAACCCGTTCTTTATTTGATTGAAATGGATTGAACAGAATAGTGTTCATTCGCTTTCTATTAAAATATTTTCCATTGGCAATATCGATATATGGAATGAAGAAGGTTGAAAAAATGAGATCCGTCTTTCAGCTATCTGTCACTTTTTGAAGCCATTGTTGAACAGACAGAACATAAATACCTATTAAAAACAATAAAGTAAGAAAGAGTAAATAATATAATATTAAATATTAACTTATAGCGAGCATTGTTGCGTGTGGTTGCGTACGGACGATATCAATCATGTTTCCAAATAGAAAACGGTGAGTAATCTTATAGGGTTTATATAGAATTACTGAGAAATAAGTGTAGATTATGTTATGTTGCAAGTGTTTGTTTTTGGAAAAGTAATAAATATACCAATGAAAAAGTGATGAAACTTGTAAAGATGCGCATTTTTTTAGTCATGGCCGTGGTCTTTCGACTTGTTTTAGTGCAAAACGCTTTGAAATCTACATAAGTTGTTAGTTTATTTACCTTTAAGCATAATGAAGTTACTACAAAGTGATATAATTGCATATTGTTGTCATAATCGTTGTTGAACGAAAATAAACCGGTAAAAATGGCGCCAAAGTCGTAAACATTGCATAAAGTAATAGTCTAGTAAATAAGTCTACTAAATAAGGCCTATTACAGTATTGAACAGTATTTTAAAGAAAGATTATAACAAACACATATTTATAGGAACACAAGTAATGTGTCTACAGACATACAGTACTGTGTCTACAGACCACAAGTACACATGGTTACACATGATAAAGGTACAGATGATTTATTTAGTTAATTTAAATTTTAATGTTCATTAAATTCATCGAAAGTGTATATTTTGACTACTGTCATTTTGAGTTGACATATTATTTTTGTTTACTTACTTTGTTTTGATTGATTCAATTTGATTTTGATTATTTTGGGTTTATTTTGATTGTTTTAATTTGATATTGATTGTTAGAGTTGAATTTATTGTTTTAATTTGATTTTATATTAATTTGATTTTGATTATTTTAATTTGATTTTAATTATTTTAATTTGATTTTAATCTGTCAAACACCAAGCGGTCACCGGTGACCGCGACCTATTGTTCTTTAATTGTGTCTATAAAACCGGTACTCGACGAGTTAGTTATTTGATTTAACAATAATTTTATTTACTTACATATTTTATTTTGATTTTTTTTTACGACCTATGTTATTTTATTTCTTATTGTAACTATTTCTTTTTGACTTTATTCATTAATTTGAACTCGATTATATGTTAAATTTTGATATTAGATATTTGATGATAAATGTCAACTTTATTTAAAAAAAATGTTAACTTCATTTATCAATTGTTGCTGTGCCCATAAATGTAACTTAGCTTTAAGCGTATATCAGCAGTGACCACTTATAGAGTATAGACTTAATGATGAAAATATTGATGATTCTACTAATTTGACTTATTAGAAATTAAACCTTACATGCGTGTTAAGCGACCAGTTTTCAAAAGAAATACTTTCCTCAAAGAGCTAAGCTTAAGTTTAAATCGAATTAACTTGAGACCTTTGAGACTATCTACCCGCAAGATTCAAGGTGAAGTGAAACACTAGTTTTATCATATCCGCCACAAGTCTTCCACTGCTAAATGTAGGCCTTCTACCCAATGACAGTCGCTTACATTATGAATTTGCATTTTCGTAGGCACCTAGGAAATGAAAAAGATTGTGAGGCATACTCTTTAAAACTATAGGTACATCATGCTTGCTGAATTAACAGGATCATTCCTAATAATATAGTGTAATAGTCACTTGAGTAGCGAGCAGTACTTAGATTTTTGTTCGTAAACAACCACAAGAGAGCACATTGACATTTTCCAGTTAATTGTCATCTGTCATTTTGCTTAACGGTGGCTCTACACTTGACGTTGCGTATTTGTTCGGCCAAAAAAGTTAAAAGACCATGTTTGGAGGATTTATTCGTCTTTATTTGCTATATATTTGCACGCCATTACATATAGAGATACTATTTGGACGCCATTTGTACGTAGTCTACAAATATTTAGACAAATGAAGCGAATACGCAATGTCAAGTGTGGTACCACCTTAACGTACCTTTTGCACATTTTCAAAGTGAAATAACTTTTGCTATATATTTGGACGCCATTACATATAGAGATACTATTTGGACGCCATTTGTACGTAGTCTACAAATATTTAGACAAATGAAGCGAATGCGCAATGTCAAGTGTAGTACCACCTTAACGTACCTTTTGCACATTTTCAAAGTGAAATAACTTTTGCACCCCAAGTTCTAAAAATATGATTTTTTTTTTCTAAATATCATAATAAAAATATCTATCGTTTAAATCATTTACTTGGTTAAAACAATGACTAATAAAAAAAATTATAGCGGTACAAAAATTCAGTACAAACCTGCCATTCTCCTTTTTTCTTCTATTTTACGTTATTTCGCATTTACTTAGGTAGGATATTATACTTAGCAGGCATTTATGTGTTGAGTTGGGTGATCAAAACA